CCCTGAGTGAATTTACGACAGTACCGGAGCATTTTTTTGTGTTTTTTTTGTGTGTGTGTGTGTGGGTGGATTCTTATATAGGGATGGGTGGGTCTGAGTCTATGGATCGTGGGTTGTACACTTAGGCGGTTGAAAGGTCACCTCAACTAATATTAGGGTTTACTGACGTCGTGCGCGCTTAAAAATAGTGAATATGTTTAATAGTGTTTAAGATTCACAGGCTAGCTGTGAATAATAGATGATAAATAGTTAAAATAATAAAAACGCGTATAGTAAGACTGACAATAATGGTAAATATGCAAAGGTATATGCGAAAAGATATATCGCTTTAAAAAAAAAGTACTGGGTAAAATAGTGTAGCAGTGGTGTATACTTTGCTTGTTGTAAATAAAACTTTTATATCAGGAAGTCTAATTCGATGATCGCATTAACGAAATAAAGAAAAAAATCAACCAGAAGAGGCAAATGGAGAGAGAGATTAGTGTTTTTTTTATTAGTACGATAGTATGGATTGTTAGTTCAAAGTGGAGATACATTCAATAACAGAAAACAGTAACGTAAGCATCTTCTAAGGAAAGAAAGAAGGAGTAATTTTGTTTATTACCCGCCTTTGCCTTTTTTTTGGGTCGATTGCAAAGTATATCAGTGATGTTTTTGTGCACGAGTACCAACGTAGCGCACTTATTTACATGATCTGAAATGGCAGAAACCTCAGTAGCACACACATACATACAGAGGGTTTAAAAAAAAAAATACATTCTACAATCACCAGATTTTTTTCTTCCTTTTGCGTGATTTTCTAGAATAACGCGCAAAAAAAAAGGCCAACCGCAGCGAGGCGGATGCAGGACTTCGATCTAATAGTTTCTCCACACTTACCACGGTTGTAGTTTGTGAAACGAGTTCGTGGGCGATTCCCGCACGGGTGCGACGAATCCCTCGTAAAGCGTCGGATCCTGCTCGTCCATCTCGTTCTCCTCGTGGGAAATGGGAAAGAAGACCCCGTCCTGGGCGTCGGCGTTTGGTTCCCCCCTCTTATTCCCGCCCGCCTCCTGGCGTTCGCGCTCGGCGACGTAGGCCTTTGACATCGCCGCCAACTCCCCGCGCAGCTCCGTGTGGCGCTCGCGGAAGAAGTTGGTCTGGACGCGGAAGTACTCCAGCCCCTCCTGGAGCTGCCGCAGCTGGGCCTTCTTCTTCACCAACATCGCCTGGTAGGCGGAGAGCTGCTCGGCCACCTCCGGCCCGGGCTGCCGGGCGACGGCGGTTTTATCGCGGAAGTACCCCCCTTCCGCCTCCGCGATCGCGCGGTCGGTGTGCTCGAGGACCTTGCGCCGGTCCGCGATCGCGGCCTGGAGGTCGCGCACGCGGGCGAGCAGCGCGACGGTCCCCGGCGCCGCCCAGGCGA